GGGACAGCCCCGCATTTCCCAGATGAAGCTCACTCTGGCTTCTGCATTTTGTTAGCACATTCGTTCATTCTTGCACTGTTTGATCAGTGGATCCTTCCTTCTGTGTTTACTCACTTCCGGCTTTGGAATCTCCCGTTTGTTGGTCATTTATTCATTCATCAAATATTTCTGTGCTATCAATCAGCTATCACTGTGACTGCAGAAATGAGCAAGTAAAAAAACGGCACAACTCCAAGCCTTTACGGGGGTTTCATTCTGGTAGACAGACCAGAGACTCAATGATTATAAAACTGTGCTGTCACAGCAAGCCATCAAGTACAGCCCGGGGGCGGGGTGTGTGTGTGTGTGTGAGTGAGTGGGGCAAGTCTAGGAAATGTTCTCAGTGACACATGAACACAGTTATTTAGTACAACACTGCACTTAGTAGTTACATAATATATAATTATGAAGCATAATTGATGTACTATGTACTATATATTATGTTAGCTGTATTATCTCTATGTTCTATACATCCAACATCATTATATTCGGATGAGGTAAATAGTTCAAATAAACATGAACCAGTGATGTGCTGGTACGGAAATAGCTCCGAAATATATAATAAGTTGAAAAAAGAAGAGTGGATGTCATATGCTGTCTTTTGGGGGGGGGGGGCAAATACAAATAAAAAGTCAGTTTCTTGAATTTCATACAGACACCCTGGGATAACACTAAAAATCAAAACAAGACTCGTAGCCGATTGGGGAGCAGAGCTGGGGAAACCAGGCAGAGGGGCACACAAGGGAGAGGGAGTATTTTCACTGTACACATTTTTATGTTTGTGTACTAAGCGAATGTATTATCTATTTTAAAAATTAACATATCCTGAAACTTTTGGGGGACGGTGTCTACTAGTGGACTGTGGCCAGGTGGCTGGAGAGCTGAGCGTGGGGTGGGAGGCAGAGGGGCGGGGTGGGGAGCCATTGCAAGCACAGTGTTGCACACGGGGAGGCATGCTATGCTTGTACCCTGTCACATCTGTGACGATGACAGGGTAGTGTTGGGAGATGGGGGTGGCGGGAATCAGACAGGGGGCAGGTCATGAGGTCCTCATGTGACGGGGTGTGAATTCAGATTCCATCTCGAGGGTGGGAATCTTTGGCTGGTGATCAGAAGGGAAATGAGTGATCAGAATGGCACTTTGTAATCATCTCCCCAGAACCAAGTACACGTGTGACGGTGGGGTGGGGGCAGAACTGGGCCCGGGAAGACTATCTAGGAGGTTATTGGCCATCCTTCTGGTAGAAATGATGAGCACATGAACCGAGGACAGGGGAAGTGCTCACGGACAAGAGAGACTAGTATCATTCCACAGCTTGATCCTGGCTACAGCCCTTGATTTTTCATCTCCTCCATGGATAAGATATTGCTCCTCCCTTCATACTATTCACAGTTGTTCTTTGGATTCCACTCTGAAGTTTAACTTGGTGTTGCCGGCAGTTTGCAGGAGCCCTGCCATATTGGCCTCTGTAAGATTAAGGCGACAGGAATCTCCTCTCTGCCTTCCACTCTCCTTCTTCCCCTCAACCTGGGTGCCGGTGAGGGAAGCCCGAGACAGTTTGCTGCTATGCAGAGACAGTGGCGCTGGCAAGGCCAGAGACCAGAGCCCCCATGCTGGGGCCAGTCGGGCTAGACACATGGTCCCAGAGGGCACGTCAAGCCATTGCCTTCTTTCTGAATTCTGCTATTTTTTGTTTGTTTCTGTCAAGCCTATACATAGCTCCTGCAGGTATTGGCCTGGGATTTCATTTTGTTCCAGTTCCGAGCTCTGCCCTTACGGGGGACAACTGTCTAGACAGGATTCATCAGCAGAGCAGAGCGGTATCCATGAGTAAATCATTCAAATAGTTCCCTTTCACGTGCCAGAGAGATGCTGCCTTCAGACTCCAACATGGCTTCTCCATTATCCTGCCTACTTCCACTGGCCTCTCCCTGCATCCTTCTAGATCTTTCTGTGCCTCTAGAAATTACAGGGGTACCCCTGGTGCAGCAGGGCCTCCAGGACATTGTCCCATCTCAAAGCCCTTTGTCTAATTGCCAAGATGTCGCCCATGTAGCACAGGCTGTTAAATATTGTGACCATCACCCCCTTTTTTTCAGGAATAAGGCTGACATCTCAGCACATGCTAGGCAACCATTACAGGAAGTATTTCCATATCGTCACACGATACGATAAAAATTGTAATTCTAATAATTATAAACATATGTATATGAAATATGTGGAAAGCATAAAAACCCACATAACCACACAATAATACACAATTTGACAGTGGTGAAACAATCTCAGGGTATATTCTATTTTAATATAAAAAGATAAAATACTGGAACACTGTCTCCTGGGTATATTACACAAGAAAAGTCAGAGATCAGCAACTAATCCTTTTGAGCTAGAATGCTGAATAGTAGAATCGGGAATATACATGCAGGCGGGCGGCTTTGAATGGTCACTAAACAAGTATGTCAAGGAATTAATTCATAACTGACAAGTCCTTTTAGGTGGCGACATACATTTTGTTTAGTATTTCTCCTTAGTGTATGTTTTTCTGTGTCACTTCAGCCCCTTACCAAATAAATACCTTCACCTTGCTCTTCATTTGAATTGGAGTAACCATGGAGAAATGACTTTTTGATTCCACAGTATTCTACTGCATTATAAAAATGTGAACATCATGCTATCATTCCACAAAATATGTTAGCAATGTGCTCTGAATAATTTTTGAAAAGGAGGTAAATCTGTCCAGAGATGAAAGATTCTAGAAAAATGTTTCAAAATTTAAAAACAGAATAAGAACCTTTAGAATCTAGCATATAATAATATAGGACTCTTTTACCTTAACATAGACTGAAAATTTTTAAGAGAAAATTTGCCTCTCTCTCTCTATTTTTTTTAAAAGCTAAGATTTAAACATATATTTTGTCAGTTTCATATGTGACTGCTAAGAAATTAAAGAACAGATTTAGGAAACAACTGATAAACATCTATTGACAAATGGCAATATCTAGAAACCAAGAATAATCAAATTCCTTGGTACATCTCTGAGAGAGATTCTTTAGTGTTAAAGCATAACCTCTTTCTTTCTTTCTTTTTTTTTTTTTAAATTCAGTGCAGAATTTGCTTTCATTGGACTAGATGAAATCTTTGATTTTTTTATCCTAATCTTTAGTCTTTCTAGAAAATTATATTTCAAATGTGCTCTAAAACACTATTTTAAAGCTTGACATATGTGGGTTAAAGAACAATAATCCATAGGTTATACAAGTGAGGTAAGACCACTACATTGGTGTTCTCAAATGAGCCATGGCTCCTGGTATGCTCACTTTTTTAGAGCCACCTCCTACATGTGGCTTGGGCTTGGTCATATGACTTGTTGTAGTCAATGGAATAATAGGAAGAATTACCCAAGTAGAAGCTGGATAAATGATTACATGTTGGACTTCTCTTGGAATCTTGCTACCTTGCTATAGGAAAGCCTGTTGAGTTTCTGCAAAAAGGCAAGCCATATGGAGAAGAATGTGGCTCAACTGCCAGCCCTAGATGTGTGAATGAGGCCTTCTTGGTTATTCCAGCCCCAGCAAAGGCTGTGGTTGAAAGGTTCATATGAGTGACCCTGGCCAATATCACGTAGAGCAGAAGAACCACCCAGTGGAATCCTGCCCCAATTACTGACCCACAGAAGTCTAAGCAATGCATTTATATGGCTCTAAGTAATTCCATGTTGGAGTGGTTTGTTACACAGCAGTAGATAAGAGATACACTACATGATAGCATGGAGCTCTCAACCTTCTTTCTAGAAATAATTCCAAGGTATATTCTTCACTAACATACATCTCTTATATTTCTGTTGGTTGTTTGTTTACTTATTTTGTTGTTGTTGTCTATTTATTTACTGTTGAGTCTATATGTTTTATTCTGATTCTAGCTCAACCAGTCGGACAGAAGGACCGAGTTGGATAGTTGCTTTATATGAAAAGTATGTCTGAAAATGGCTTCATTGTCTATTGACTCAAACAACCTGCCATGTTCTTGTTGGGTCTCAAAGGAACAGCATTGTTACTAATGGTATATATTTTAAGTTACTTCCACTCCACACTATAATCAAATTGTGGATGGGACAATCTGGTAGAAAAAAGTAACTTTAAGAGATTCCTGTAGTCCGCTATTTCTTCTCTCTGCTCCTCTATATGGAATTATATCTTGACACTACATTTTAGGCACTAAAATGTGGAAGACTCTGAAGGGATTTGTTTTCTTAAAGAATGCTAATAATAATAATTATTATTTTTAACCTTTACTTTTGAGACAGAGCGAGATAGAGCACCAGCGGGGGCAGGACGCGAGGTAGGATGGGGGAAAGGGGGGCAGCGGCAGGGACAGAGGGAGACACAGAATCGGAAACTGCTCCAGGCTCTGAGCCGTCAGCACAGAGCCCGACGTGGGGCTCAGATCACAGACCATGAGATCATGACCTGAGCCGAAGTTGGATGCTCAACTGACTGAGCCCCCTGGCGCCCCCGGGAATAGTTATTTGAAATACGAAGCTTACTAGACCGAGCAAGCCAGTGGTGTGTTTGCATCCTCCTTTCTCTGGAAAGAATGCTTTAGAGGTAGAAGTAGTAGCAGAAGTGTAAGCAGAAGACCCCGAAGTAGAGAATGGACAGGGCCCTGCTTCTGGGGGATGGTGATGTGCTATTTCACTGAATGGTGTGCATTGTATCTCAAGTTAGAAATTACAGGAACGGACTGTGTCTAAAACAGTGTCCGGGCACCAAAAGGAAAAGATGTAGCCTCATTAAGGACAGCCAATGTTAGCCTAACTGCTGCTATTTCCACCATTTAGAGGATGTTCTCCACGTGCTTATTTAAGGCGTTATCTGCCAGACGGGTGTGGACAGAAGGTTTACATACAAAATGCCCATAAAGGAAAGTCTTGATCAGACGGCGATTCGAATGTGCTACTTACAGAGAGCAGTATCTGGACGGCGCTGTGGATGACCTCTAGGTACTGGAAGTCGACAATGCAGCCGGTGACAGAGACGTACGTGTAGTCGTCCATCGCGCCCTGGGCTGACGCAGGCAGCACCCTCCGCACACAGCCAGGCCCGTGCTCCCGCCACCACGACCGGTGTACAGAGATGTTGAACGTCATCAGGTCCGTGTCCTGGGGGGCAGGAGACACGAGAACAAAAGGGACAATCCTGTCATACCACATCTTTGATTTGCACCTGAGGAAGAATTCAAGATGAAGACCATTGTTGAGACGACTTAGATTTCAAGGGCATCGTGGGGAGGAGCACTGGGTGTTATATGGAAACCAACTTGACAATAAACTATTAAAAAAAAAGATTTCAAGTGCAAAAGAACACAAGACAGAACCACAAATGGCTATGTACACCGTACGCCTAAACTACTGGCTTATAATTGTTTACCATAGACACAGTCCTTTGAAAAATACCATTTTAAGGTAAGCACACCTCAAACATTGAGAGGCAAAGTCCCCTACATGTGTTCATTTAAAAATTATTTTGTTCCAAACAAATTATTTTATTCATTTTGAAACATTTGTCTGTGTTTTCTTGTTCATCACCATCGACATCACCTTTATTGATAACATTGATGAGTGCTTCTTAGCTTCCTAGCCATCGTTCTAAGCACTTTTCATGTTTTATATCCTTTAAGGTTCCTGTAGGTACTATTAGTAACCCAATTTATAGTCAGTGGAATAGTAGTCCCCCCAAAAGACTTTTGTGTCCCACTCAATGGTGCCTGTGGATTTTACCTTCTTTGGGTTATCTGACTGGGCCCTGAATGCGATCTCGTCTATCCTTATGAGGCAGAGGCAGAGGGAGATCAGACACAAGGCAGAAGAGAAGGCAGTGTGGACATGGAGAATGGGAGATCGGAGTGATGTGGCCACAAGCCCGGGAATGCTCCAGCCACTAGAAGCTGGAAGAGACAAGGGCCTCTTCTCCTCAAGGTGTCCAGAGGGAGCCTGGGCCTGTCAACATCTTGATTTCAGCCCAAGGAAACTGATTTCAGACTTGTGGCCTCCAGAACCGTGAGATTAAGCTTCTGTTGTTTAAGACATCATGTTGGTAGTAACTTGTTGTATAGTAGCCATAAGAAACTAACACAAGTAAGGAAAGGAAGTCGCAGAGAGGAAAAATAAATTGCCTAATTTAATGAATAAATTAAATAAATTGCCTATTTAATGACAGACCCACAACTGGATCCCCTGTTGTCTGTACTTGCAGCTCTGACACGTGGTGAAAAGCCCACTTGCCTACTGTGCTCTCCCTCCCAAACCTTTAGAGTTCCCCATACCCTCAAGGGCACTGGGTCCTTCCTCCTCAATTGTTTCCAGAAAACACCACTGAGAGCCCGAGCAAAAGAACCGGAAAGCAATTCTTGGTATTTACATATCAAAATAGGCTTTCAGAGCTTTTAGCAGAGACAACAGCCCAGGTGTTTTTCCTCAAAAGACTGAACAACTAAGATCGGACTGTTCTTGGCATAAACCATAGACTGAAAAGCATAGCTGAGGAGCCAGGACCTTGATTCCCCCCAAACTTGACCTTCAAGTCCTAGCCTCTCCCTTTCTGCGTACTGAATGCTGTCTTTCCCCATCATACCTTCTACCTTGTGCGGGAGCGTAATCCTCAGTAAAAGCCTTGCCCAGAAATCCTGCTTGGCCTCTAGTTAATTTCAGTTGCTTGGTGAGCTCAAGGACTGTGGTTGGTAACAAAGTACTCGTGTAAGTAGCCTCAGACTAGATCACTGTTAAAACATTTGACAACTTCTTTTTCTTTTTTTGGGTTGTTGGTTTGTTACATGTATCATTCAGTTACCTTCACAGTTACAGCACTTTATTAATAATAAAACAGTTACTTTTTTTTTTTGGTTCTTGGTTTGCTACATGTATCATTTGCAGTGCCCCCTGAAGGGAGAATATTATGGAAAAATAATTGCTTCAGCTAGTGAATTCAGTTTAACCAAGGCAATTTACCTGCAGGCAAACGGCACACTGGCCGCTCCCTTTCCTGACCATCAGATTTAATCTCTCACAGTTAGTCCTGATCATAACCCAAAAACCTATTATTTTCCGTTTCAATAGAATTCATTAGGTTCAGGATGAACTGCATGATCTCAAAAGTCATAGCAATTTCTGCTCTTCAAGTATTCTTACCCAGTGGCCTTTTCTATTGCTGGACTCTACATTCCTTTCGCTATGATTTTGACTAAAATTTATATTACCCAAATAAAACAAAAGTGAATTTATGAACTCATGATACATATTTGTTACACTCATAAAATCGCTCTGTGTAGTTCTCACTTAATTTGTTGGCACTATAAATATTTATAAACTGTACCTTTTTTTTGCAATGACTACATTAAAATGTGAATGAGAACGTCAATAGCATCAAATTAAACTTAAAGCTTAAACCTCTAACTTAAATTTGGTATAAAATTTTATTGCAAGTTTGTGTCTGATTTCAATCCCCTTCAGTACCTAGATTTCAAACATCGCAAAAAACCTTAACACACAACTCAATTTCCTATATGAAGCACACCGAGGAAAGGCACAACAGAAAACTCTAACGAAGTTTTTTTATTAAACAAAAATAAATCTAGAAGATCATTTACTTTGTTGAAGCTGTTTGTTACCACATCAAAGCCTGCAGTTTTGAAATGCATGGGCGAAATGCTAAACCTGGATCAACAAAGTGATCGTTACACATAATTTCAAGGAGCTCAAATGTCATTTCTCTTTCACTTCTTGGAGTTAGAATAGTATGTGATGATTTAAGCACACCATGGTTTAAGAAAACTGGCGACTGATATCCTTATCATTTTCTTTAGAATTTAAAAGATTTCAACAATGATATTTATATTTCATTGCGAGTGTGTGTGATTACCAAGGGGCAGTCTGGAGGACAAAGAAGAAGAAAGCAAGGAGGGAGAAGAGAAACATGAAACCAAAGCAGAAATGCTTGGGATGCATAAGGACAGCTTGGAGAGAGAGAGAGAGAGAGAGAGAGAGAGAGAGAGAGAGAGCGAGCGAGAGCATGGCTAACAGAAAAGAGAATTTCAGGGAAGGTGGTAACACCATAGATTCAAAGCCTGATTAGAAAGAACCACTGAATTTGATGGCGGGTTTGGCAGGGGGTTTATAGAAAATGCAATGCCAGGAGAGCACTGGGAGTGAAAAACTAGATTACAAGGAGTAGAGGGGACTGAGAAGAGAGAACTTGGTGTGTTTTTTCATGATGTTTGGGAGTCAACATAGTGAGAACATAGGATGCTGGCCTCACAGATGGGCAAGAAGAGCAAGAGTCTGTGCATGGAGGACCACGTGTTAGCTGTATCAGCTCACACTCACAAAGTTATGACTTAAAAGACCATTATTCCATAATACCTGCTTCCTCCTAATATCTATTTAAGCAAATACAAAATGTTTAAAAGTACTTTCATCTCTCTAGTATGAATTCAAAACTTGTTTCCATTTTCTTCAGGTACTTGAATTAAACAAAGAAGGAATTTCCAGAATTCTTTGAAATGTTGTTCATTAACTGTGTAGGTGGACATGGCTGCCTACGTTCCTTTCACAGTAAGTGTAGCCACAGAGCTGGAATCAGCTCCTGTCCTAAAAAAGCTCAATATTCACCTCTTTATAGTATACCACTATATTTTCTCTTATTAATCAAGGGGCTGGTCTCTCTCTTATTCTTCTGTGTACTTTTAATCATCTGCTTTTTTGGGTATGTGTCCAATCCAACTTTAGCTAGCCTCTCTACTTTTATTTATTTATTTATTTTAAATATTTTTATTTATTTCTAGGAGAGAGAGAGAGAGAGAGACAGCATGAGCAGGGGAGGGTCAGAGAGAAAGTGAGTCACAGACTGAAACAGGCTCCAGGCTCTGAGCTGGCAGTCAGCACAGAGCCCGATGCGGGGCTTGAGCCCACAAACTGCGAGATCATGACCTAAGCGAAAGTCAGAGCTTAACTGACTAAGCCACCCAGGCACCCCCTTTTTTTTGTTTTTTAATATTTTTATTTGCCTCTCTATTTTTAGAAATGGATGCTTAAGTGCTAATAATATGCTTTTTTTTAATGTTTCCTTAATTGTGGCTGAAAGAGTCACTGAATCCACTTTTGCATAGTTATCTCCTTTCTTTGTGTTTTTACTCTCTCTTATCATAAGCCAGTCCATTTGGAAATGAACATGCATTTAACAAAATAGATTTTACTCAACTTTAAAGAGTTAGCTTTGGGTTTACATTTATATAATAGAATTCATGTTGGTTGAAACTTCTTTTGAGATACCTGTTCATCTCAGAATATGAATTAGACAAGTTAAAACAATTTGCTTACATTTCAGTTCTTTTTCAACAAAGCACTAAATATTTCAGAGGGTACTGTGGACCCACAGAATAAAGGGCAAACACAGTGCTTGGTAGTGAGGTGTACGTGTTTGGAGCATGTAATACAAAGACTACGCACCAGTTCACATATATCAACAATCATATGTTGTTTTCCTTACAGATAGGTTTAAAAGATATTCAGGCTTCCATGGGGAAGAGTCTGTCATTTGCTGTCACTTTCTTTTTTTTAAAAAATTTTTTTTAATGCTTTATTTATTTCTGAGAGAGAGAGAGACAGCATGAGCAGGGGAGGGTCAGAGAGAGAGAGAGAGGGAGACACAGAATCTGAAGCGGGCTCCAGGCTCTGAGCTAGCTGTCAGCACAGAGCCCGACGCGGGGCTCGAACCGCAACCATGAGATCATGACCTGAGCCAAAGTCAGACGCTCAACCGACTGAGCCACCCAGGTGCCCCTTGCTGTCACTTTCTTAAAGACTCCTTAGTGCAAGCCATGAACAAGTCATGCTCAGTCTGTGCTTTTGTTTCTCAGTACAAAATACAGTCTGCATCTGTAAATACAGAGAACTAAGTGATGATTGTAGGGGGGTGGAGGTTGGGTAAAATGGGTAAAGGGAAGTGGGAGGTACAGACTCCCACTTTTGAATGAATGAGTCACAGGAATAAAGGGCACAGCATAAGGAATATGGATGATATTGTGGGCACCTCGGTGGCTCAGAAGATTAAGCATCCAACTCTTGATTTTGACTCAAGTCATGATCTCATGAGCCCCACGTCGGCC